TGCTCGATTCCTCAATAGACCCTTCTGAGGGGCACCTCCACTTTTGTCCATTTTAATGACTCTGCAGCTATTTTATTTCTCGATCTGCATACTCAGCCCTATCCTTATTTCACAATTTTCTTTTGCTGCTCCCCATCTAAGATACCCACTCCCACGTTTGTCTAGATTTCTTACTCTTCCCAAAAGCCTTTAACAAATCCAAGTGTCAGATATCCCTGCTAGGTGCTCCCATAACTCCCAAATGTTTTTTCTTCAGCAATGGTTACACTGTGGGTATAAAATTGCTACGTCTTCTAACTACACTGTAAGCTGTTAAAATGGGATTGTTTTAGTCACTTCTGAATTCCCTGTAGCTAGCAGAGCTCCTGACAGTCTAAAATCAATTAGGAATGTACACTGACGCGCAAACAGCTCATTTCTTCAAACTCTATTGCATAGAAATATTTATGTACGAAAAATGTGCATGACTGAAGTGATAAATAGGCAGGTAAAACAGAAAATCCTTAAATATCAGGTGATTTTTAAATTATATGCTCGGGTTGGACTCCTCACTATGAAGGACTTCGATCTATTGGCCTCTTTAAAGACCTTCTCTAACTTCATTCTTCTACTTAAGCAGAAATCACCTCAGTCAGGCGCTTTGACTCGGGTCTTGGGTGGTACTGTTACCAAGTAACACCGCTTGCAGTACTTAAAACAATATTGCAAGTATTTCTTCATAATTTGGATCCAGACAGATATACACGGAAGGCAATACTAGGAGTCCCTCAAAAAAACCTCTTCAAGGGATCTGCTTTAGTAAAAGTAAAAAGCAGAATGAACCAATTTCACCTCACTAGGCTGAAAAGGAGGAGAGACTAACCAAGTGTTATAATTCCCAGGAGGTCTCTCAAACTTGCCGAGTCTGCATTCTCATTGTAGAACTCTAGCTACTCTGGTTCGACAGCCTCAACCACCAGATAATGCCTTTGAGCAACAACTTGGGGCACTGGCACGGTGGCACAGCAGTTAAGTTCGCACATTCCTCTTCTCGGCGGCGCGGGGTTCGCCGGTTCGGATCCCGAGTTCGGACATGGCACTGCTTGGCACACCATGCTGTGGTAGGCATCCCACATATAAAGTAGAGGAAGATGGGCACGGATGTTAGCTCAGGACCAGGCTTCCTAGGCAAAAAGAGGAGGACTGGCAGTAGCTGGCTCAGGGCTAATCTTCCTCAAAAAAAAAAAAAAAAAAAAAAAAAAAACTTGGAACAGGGCTTGGACATCAAGCTCTAATAGCTTTGATATTGCTGACATTTTCATTACACTTTTGCATTATGTCCTCAAAACTGGTCTAACAAGTGATTTCAGAAAACAAATCATTTTACATCAATAATATACTATCTGATAACTAAATACAGAATGTATCGCCTGATCAGATCAACTTAATATTTGATTCATTGCCATCTATGGCCATTTCAAAAGATGAGAAGTATACTAAAAAAGTTGCCATTATTATTAAATATATTCCAGAGAAGGGGAATTTCTTTGTGGGGAGAGGAGGTAATTGCTAAAATGTTGTCAGCAATGGTAATGCGAATTACAAGTGTAGTCTCATAAAATCTCACTCTGAAGGGTAGAGCACATCTGAGACACAAACACCTTCATCTAACACTTTACCTCACACACACCTACTAACATCTTGGTCACATGGTTATCACTAGTTAACTGACAAAGAGAAAACCTAAAATATTGCTCTTATCAGTTTGGCTCAGAAAAAGTCAGCTATCTCAGACTACTGCTGAATATTCAGGAGCTGAGCAGAAAATGTCTAGGCCACCTCTTCCCAAGGTTCATACCAGTCAAACTACAAGATCCTATTCTTGACATTTCAGCAAACATTAGGGAAAACTAGCTCATTGGCGTGGGTTCTAAAATCCTTTTGTTTGGTATTTTTATTATAATAAAATTAAGTTTGTAATTATTACAGTATATTCTTCTGCTTGAACCATAATAGTATTGCAAGGACTAGTAGAAATACGAAAATCTCAATGGTATTTGTTGATGGGAAATAAAGAGTAAAAGCAAACCTCCAAAATTCCATTTGTAGGCCATAGGAGCATAAGCACAACCATATGGGAGGAGATAACCAGTCTCTTCCCTTCATATATATTCTTTTTTATTTTCTTGTTATACCTTCCCAAAACAGAGACATTCAACAGTAGTTAGAATGGCCATCTCCAACATTTAAAAAAACTGCACCCCCAATGGGTGAACAAAGTAAAGAGTAGTAACCTAGAGTTCAGCTGAGTAAGCCACTGCGGAGCCTTAAGTGGTGAGGTCTTCCAATTTCAGAGTGATGTGTCTTCAACTTGTATCATCATTTTAGTGGAAAAACATAATTAATTTTGGTGAAATGAGATTCATCTCCCGACAGGATTAGTAACAGCATTCACTGAATTTCACATTCTTCTTTTGTGAACTGTGAAGAAAATGAATGGTAGCTAGAAGATCAATGGGATTCCAACTCCAGCTGCAGATGGAATGATGATATACCAGGACAAAAACACTATATTTTGATTTACAAAGCTAACAGCAGTTTTAAATCTGCAACTTAATTACAGACCAACTACACCACAACCTTTTCAAATGGCAAAAATACAAAAAAGTTAAGTGTTACAAAAATATTTCAGAAAAAGTGCATAGTCTAAGTGCATAGTAAATAAAAGCACTGAAAAATATCTTGCTAGAGGGAGTTCAGCTTGGAAAAGTTATTACCAAAGCTAAACATTTTTATTTTACACAAACTATACTCAAAAATAGCTTTATGAGACTGATTTCTGGCTAAAAGTATCAAAGGGTTTATTAGTCAAGAAACAAATACCTTAACTGACATGAGTGGATAGAAAAGAAACAAAGAAGCTGCCTACCCCCAAAAGTTCATACTCATTAAGATTTCTGCAGTATGATGGTGCTAATATATGCTTTAATGGCAGGATGTGATAATCATGGAATTAATTATTGCTAAAGTAGTTTTCAAATGAAAAAAGGAAAGAAAATAAAACAAATTAAACTTGACACAATCTGACCAAACACGTGTCAAAGTTATTTTACAAAATACCAACATTTAACAATAGGTTTCTGGCAGCATTTTGAGACAAAAGTTCTTTTAATTTATCCTGACATGCTATAAATGAATAAATTACATTACTTAAAGAATTACCGTCAGTAAGTTTTTCTTTCTCTTGGGTCAGAAAGAGAACAGAGCCTCATATATGATTGAGAAAGGAAGCGCCAATAACTTACAGAAATGGGTGGGAGCCAGGGAGGGTTCAGTGTCACATGAACCTCACAGGTGTGATACTCTCCAGGGTTAAGAATCAATCTGATCAAAGCCAATTAACAAGGAATTTAAAAGAAAAACTTCGTTTTACAGTTAAACCCTTTAACGCTTTCATTCTTATTCAAAATCAGTCCAGCTGTTAGTCTGAGGCTGCAGGAATTACAATACCAGGTGCTGGCAGCCTCAGCACTAGGTATTGTGCCCGCACGTCATTAAAAAAAGAAAAGTGAAAGAATGCCTTTCCCCTTCAGACCAAAAAAAATTAAATAAAAAAACTTGAAGAAAAGGTATAACACTAAATCTAAAATGATTTGGAAAGGAATATCATGTAACAAATGGCTTGAAGTAGTCTATTAAAAAATTGGGGAGATTTTGATTTCATAGTGAGTCAGCAAGGCATTTTTGTTGTTTAAAAAAAAATCTCATTTCCTTACAGAAACAGTTTTTAGTTTTTAATGAACTTGTAAACAAAAAAGCTCCCATTTCAAAATAAAAACAAAATCCCAGATCATATAGATGTTTACAGTGATTACATTTATCTAAGCAACATACATACATGTTCAGTTGTAAGATGTTAACTAAATTTCTGTGACAAATATGCTTTTTTTTTTAATACCAAGAACATTATAGAGTTAATGCAGAGTCCTAAGGATAATCTAGTAGTCACTAAGTTTTTCTTAAGTCTTCACTTTAGATGCTGTTATTTCTAGCACAGGTAAGCAGGCAGAGTCTTTCATATGCTCAAACACTGGAATCTTTGGTTGCTACCACATCAGCTGGCTTGCAAACAAGAAGCCAACCATTTTAAGAATGTTTTAAGTGAACAACTTGCAAACCCCAGGGATGGATAAACCCTAAGAATGCACAATTGTGAGCATTTACAACCATCACAACTGTGGCTGAAGACTGTTCATGCCGTTCTTCTGAAATGAGATCTCAAAGCAGTATAGTTCAAAATAAAAGATTTAACAAAAAATTGGCATATGCACGATTTCTCCACCAATTTGCGTGTGTCAACCATTTAGTTAACTTTCCACTTGAAAAAATGCAATAGAAAACTGGACACCATGTTTCACTATCTCAGTTAATATTCACAATTACAGAGGCTACAACTCGGGACACAGCATCACCAATGCTGCCCAGAGCCAGTTTATACTGAAATTAAGTTCTTTACACCAAGTAAATGGTTGTCCACAACCACTGGCTAGTGTACATATGAACTAAAATTTCTAGATTTGGGGAGAAACAAATGCTGCTCCAATCATCTGCACTGCTTCTTCTGTTCCTTGATTCATGCTTAGAAACCTGTTTAAAAAAATCAAAACAGAAAAAAGATTATTAAAATTGCAAGTTAAATAATTTTTTTTAAATGACACCCCAAATAGGGAAACTGAGTGGAATTGGGCCAATAATTACTTTAGCATGGTGACTCATGTTAATTTCATCTATTTGAAAATCACTAGCTCAATTTTTTGGGAAAAACATGAAACCTTCCTGTTCTGGATGCCTCTACGTAGGAGTAATGTACAGTGAATTAAAGTCTCCCAGTCAGCATACAAGCCTCAAGCTATAGAACTACAGGTATTTCCAATGAGCCTGTTTTGTTTACTTCTGTATTTCTAGCATCTAGAACATATTATGTGTTCGAATATTTGTCAAATGAATGAAAAACAGATTGCTTTAACAACTAGAATGTATAGTTTTAATTATCCTATGAGCAGGAAGTGCTCTGCACATTTCTGACACAAACGAGGAATGATAAGCTTTAATAATAAATTATCGAAGGCATAATTATCTCAGTTATTCCACTGAACATAAAGATATTAAGTATATAATTCTTAAACAGAAACCTTAGGTCTTTAAAACTTCTTTACTTCCATCAGTTACATTAAAAATGTTAGGTTTTGTCACTGTCTTGAAAGTTAAACAAGTGATGCCTTTTTGGCTTTATTTACTTCTCAAGCCTTGCCACCCTGCATACACTCCCCTCCTCCCCGACAAGCAGACCGCAGGGCTTCCACATAAGGCAGGCTTGAATAGAAGGCTTCAAGTAATATAGCTCATGCTTCATCTATGCCTGATGGCAGAGAGGAAATGTGTCTAACCCTTAGCAATAACATAAAAACCCCATCAGCACCTTCTCATCTAAAGCCCTCCTGTAAGATATCAATGCCTCTTGGTCCACCCCCTTCCAAACTCTTTTAGCTGACCTAAGTATAGCTCATTCTAGCCACTCTGACCTCTCACTTCTGGAGCACAAATCATGTTTTCGCCAATCATAAACTGCTCCCTTTTTTGTACTTCTCAAACATTTGTTGGAGCATCTCCAATGGGCTTTATGGGATACATAAAATACTTCCATGATTTACTTTTCATGCACGGATGCCTTTTTCCCCAAAGATAATACCACCAACATTTATATACTATTTCTTGGTAAATATTCTCACTCGTTAACTAGGAGTTTTCCCATTTGAGGTCAGAGTCATCTTTATTCATTTAATCTGCTGTGCTACGCCTGAGAATAAAGACGAAGTGCTGTACTTCTGTGTCTCCCCATAGTGCCTAACAGAGGATGCAAAATAGACCTTTGCTGCCTGTTCAAGTACTAAGTTCATAAACCAAACACCAAAAATGATAATGAAACTTTGTGAAAAGGTATTTTACCACAAGGAATATTATCTATTTGATATAAATTATTATACAGGATTAGCTAGGTAAGCATAAAAAGAAAAGGTTGTCAAATCAAACCTTAAAGATCTGACCAAATTCTGTAACCTAATTCCAACTTTAAAATACAGAATATTTTAAAGCAAATTAAAACTATGGATAAGCTAAATAAAGTAACCCTAACCCCAATGAACAGTTGGTTTCAAGTTCTGCAACTATTCTTAAATACGATAAAAAGAATAATGTTTTCGCAACTACGAAAATTGCTGGGTTTTCTTTTACCATAGCTTGCTTACACAATTACATTATATTGGATAATTTACTTTGCTGAATATCCAAGTAGCTCTAAAACAGAAACCATTGCCACTGAGAATAAAAAGGAAACATTAGTTCTTTGTCAGTCAAAACATTAGAAAACTCCTGTGTCTTTAATAGGGATAAGAATTATATCTGTTCATCTTTTAATGTGATATATGAGCAGTTGCTGGGTCATTTGATGATTACAATTACTTAGGGATTCGTTAAAGGCTAGCCTAACAATATTCCTGGTAGAATACAGCAGTCAAATCCAGATTTAACTCTTCAGATTGGCCAAGGTAGGATACTCCACCCAGAGATCAATGCTTCTCCAGTCCTAAGATGTTAGTGAAGTTTGTTTAGGAAAAAATCTCAATAAGAGCATTCAGCAGGTATTCAACATTCAATCTTCAAGTACTAAGCATTGTTTTCCCCAGGGTGCATTAGTCCTTGGTTTTCAGCTCGTAGTTTAGGTGGCATCTCTTGGCTTCTGAAAGTCCAAAAACCCATCTTCACTGCAACAACAGTTAAAATAAGGAATGAATGCCTTTGTTCCTAAAAAAGAGGGGAGGGGGGGAAAAAGTTAAAACAGTGTTGGAGGATTAATGTGACGATTTAGGAGTTAATAGCTAAACTTAAGTTTCTTTTCAAATCTGCAAAAGGAAAAAAAACGTTTATTTTTATATAACTAATCAGGAGATTCTAACCCTCAATGTGAAAAGTATATATCTGCTCCTATTTGTGAGTTAACTTCAGATGTCCCTGAACTTTTTTAATAGAACTGTAAACTAGTTCGAAGGGATACTTATGTAATACTAAGGCTTGGAAGTTTGTGATGGGCTTTTGAAATTTAGGACCCTCTCATAGTATATGAAAAGACGTAACTTTTTAAAAGTAATTTTGAATATAATATTCATAGTCACTATATAATGCCATTTATATTAATTAACTTTTCCTAGAACACACTTGTGTGGTTGTTTTGGTCGCAAAGAATCAGAATCAAGCTTGGAGAATTTTGAATCAGATTGGCAGTATAAATGTTAAAGAAAAACAATACAGTTAACTCTTTTTTCTCCACAGAAACTAACAAAGTATTAAGTTGGGAAAGATAAAGGAAATAAATTTTATTTTTTTATCACTACAAATAAGATAATGACAACTTAAGTATAGCAGGTACACATCATCCCTGAACATCCCTGAAGAGCATTACAGAAACAGACTGCTGATCTGATTTCTTTTGTCTTCCCTATTACAGAATTCACTCTCCCACAGATTTCTGAGGTTGCTGAATTTTAAAATACCTGTTACAACTGATTCCTTCGCCAACTGGTGGATGGTCTGCATTCTACACCACCGAGTCACAGCAACACTGTATTCTTCTAGGTCTTCCAACTGCTGTGGTATCATCCAGACAATCTCACAAGTTGTAAAGTTTGACAGGTCCAACAAGCCTTAGAGACGTGGGCTTCAGACCACCACAAATCGACTCTTGCATACTCATCTTCACTTCCCGTTGGGTTATTTAGTTCTTTTCTCTCCGGCTTTATTGTCCAGTGAAAAAAGCTGACAAAAATTTCAGCAAACAAATGCAGCTCCCTGGTACTTCTCTGGATTGAGTGTATTCAGAGCAGATCAGTCTCTCCAGATATCTCAAGGTCTTCCCCTGTGATTTGGGTTACGTTGCTGAGTGACCAGCCACGTTCCTAGCAGCAATTGGTGAAGTCAGAAAAAGTTAAGCTAGACATAAATGGCAGGTGAAGCCCAGTAAATACTGGAAGGTAATTCAAGGAAGACCATGGACATGGATAGGATAATGTGATGGAAAAATACTTCTAATCTCTTAAATGTCAACAATTTGACAACCACATATACTATTATGATAAAACTACGCTTAGTATTGATGGCTGGAGTAGTGAACAGATGGGTTAAGATGATGAGAATAGCAGAATTATGTGAGGATCCACCTTTGGCTTCACTACCTTCTGAAATTCTCCCCATCTCTGCCCTCAACTAAAGAAACGGTGAACTTAACCGGATTCTGAATGTCCTAAAAATATTTCCTTTTTCTGTACTGCTTCTTAAACATCTTGAAAAGTACTTTCCTAATAATCACATATAAAAGGAGTGAAGTGCATTTGGAAATTTGTTAGACGTGAATCTTTTATTTTTCTCCTTACCATGTACGAAAACAGTAACTATAATTCTGTGGTACTTGAGCACTGAAAACTAGTATAGATCATAGAGGGCAGTAGGAGAAATGCCTTGTTTCTTAGTCTTTTGATGGGCTTTGGAATGGAATATATCAAAAGACCTTTTCTTTAGAAAAGTAATTAGGTTGCCTACTACATTTAATAAAGCCTATCTCAGTTAAGTCAGACTTTGAAGAAACTTAGATATTTGCTTAGTGAAGTGCAAAAACAACTTTCCATGTAAGAAACATTAGATACAGATTTTTCGAAAATAAAGATAATCATATAAAATATATTAGTGAATGCCACCGCCTGGGGGATTTTTCCAGGAATGGAATTCCTGCAATATAGAGATCTACTTGGTGAAGATTCACTTAAGAAACTGAATTATCTGCAGTGAAAACCTCTGAATACATAACTCTGTGAATCACAAATGATCCGATGTATTAAAAAAACACCTACAAAAATTTTAACCAGAAAAATCTAATATGCTATTTTCATCATCACTGAAAGGATTTCTTGTAATCAATGAATTATTGAGCTGCATGACCTCTTCCGTGAATGAAATGCTACTGTAGTGGATCCTAAGAGAGTAGGCTTCTAAATACTCTTATTACTTAGAGTTGGGAATCAAGAGTAAGTAGCCTAGAGAAATTGTTTTCAAACTTCATAGGAGATTTCTTAATGGACGACCCAGATAATAAGGCTGGGGTAGAGGTTAGGGGAACAGGCTCCCTGTACTTACTTCATGAGCCACCCTCAAACTTGCTATACTTTCATGGCTTTATATATAGGGGGTTTTGTCTAAGACTTTTTTGGGGGCACTAAGTTCTATATCCAAAATAAAACAACTGTTTATAACAAGTCAAAGACAAAAAAGAATTTTGTTGTTTGTATTCTACGGAATGGCACATTTTAATAGGAAGAAGTACTTTGTTTGGAGTCAAAATATGCCACCTGGAAATGCATCTGTGACAGTTGTCAGTAAATGCTTATGTGCTACGTTTCACGAAAAGTCCAATTTTTCAAAATTTTACAAGTGTGTGTTTATGTAACAATTTGTATATCTCCTCTGTGTAATGCTATGAAATTTTTCTGATTTTAACTTGCTTCTACGAAAAATAGCTACAATACAAAATAAGGATTAAACTTAAGTTTAATTACAATTTTTTCCCAAGGAAACATACTAACTCAGTGGATCCAACTTCTCATCTTTAAGACCTGGATAAAGCAGGACAAAAATTCTGCTTGTTTATTAAGTAAGAGACACAATAAACTAACAATGGAACTAGTTCAAAATACGGTAATTCTTTCTGAAGGCTGCTGAATGCCTGAAGTAAACTGTTGTAGGTCAGATGAGATTTCAATCTAATTTTAGTTCTAGAAACTGCAACTCGTGATGATCCTATTATCCCAGCTAGCTTTACGAAAAAACTGGTTTCATTTTGTGAGAAAAAGCAAATACTATAGTTGTCAGCTGTAACAAGTCCTCAGTTTAGAGACTCTACCTGATCTTAGGACCATTTCTCAGCAACAGTAGTTACCTATCTCATTAAGAACTTCTTGGCACTATGATTAGATATACAATGATTAAAACACTCAAAAGGGGCAACTAAGTCCCAACTGAGATGCACAGGCAGACCAGTGTGTAAGCACCAGTGTTTGCTATCCTGAGGTGAAATTTCATCATCTAAGAACCCCACTATATTAAACCTTCAACTGTGAATCCTTCCCAAATACAGAAACATGGAAGAGACGCATCTCAACTTGATTCATAACAGATGAGCTGCTGGGATGAGGATGACATCAGTTAATCATACTTCTTGAAAAGTATCCTCAGATTAGTCTATTTTTAAATTACAAAATTGTTTAACTACAACATTAAAAATATGGACCAAAGAAGACCAAGTTCAGACTAGAGCAGTCATTCAGAAATTAAATAATCAGAAACCAAAAACCAAACCTTATCTGCCCACCACTTCCACAAAGTAGGCAGGTATCAGGAGGTAAGCCCCAGAAACAGGAAAAGAAAAACAAACAAGAAACACGACACAAACACAGGAGTTGAACTGTGTGGCAGCAGTGTAAGAAATGGAGCTGCGCCCTGGCAGTTCTACTCCTCAGTAGCACCAGGGGTGCCAGAGAAAGACAGAAAGGAAACAGACTAGCAGTTCAATGGCATTGGCCCCAGTTTTCTTCAATATGCGAGGCCTAACTGCAGAATTCCATTCCACAATGGACCCCTAGACCCTGAATATTTGCAAGATTTTTAAAAATAAAGCCAAAAACAACAAAAGAATTATTTTGAAATTATGAACAACATAGTTAAATAGCAACTAAAAGAGAGATTTTTTTTTGTGACTAGGAAATTTGCGTCGAGCTTTTCAGTTATTTGAGCATTTGAGAGAGTAAACAAGATGCTCTGGAACTGAGAAGATAGACACTTTGGGGGCAATGCCAGACTCACCTCTTGAAATCAGATAATGTTCACAATTTTCCATTTTAAATACAAAGGCATTAACATGCAGAAAAAATTCTTAACACTGTTAGTCTGAAAGAAAGTCAAAATACCATGGCTAACCAGATTCATTATTAAAAATCAACAAGTGTTAGGTCTAGGATTTTGGATTGATTGATTATACCATATTCCCAACACCAAATGTTTATTTTGGAAAAAGGTTAATGAATGAGTAAAAAAGATGCAGCTGTTAAAAATGACCCAAAATCCCAAGAGAAATGATACTATACACACATATATGTATATACAAATACATATACATATATATATGAACAAGGACATTTGGGTTTAAAGTTAGTAGTCAAATTTTCCAAGGACGTCTTTTTTTTAAAACAAGAGCCAAATTTTCATGTATTTTAAAACCACCTCCTCGATCTAACACTGTTATAAATGAATGAATTACCCAATTTTGCGTTCAATTTTTTTCCCTGTAACGTCACTTGGTTCTTGGCTACTAACCTTTCATGTTACTCTTGGTTTTGTCAGTTTGCTTGCCTGTGGGGGTTTGGGCCTGCTGACCCTGCCCACTTGAAGAGGCTGCCTGTTGTGCTGCTTTCTGCTTTAACATTGTCCAATCAAATGTGTAGTCATATTGGTGGTTCAGGGTCCTGGAAAATATAAAGTTATATATACCAATCCTGCAATAAGAGTCCAGTTATATATTCTACTGAACTTTCAAAACAGTGAGGGCATTTTTTTTAAGAAAAAGAAGATTTTTCTATTAAGTGTGGTAGTTTCTAAAAGATTTCCTTCCCTACTGATGAATTTCATTTTAACTGTTCAGTTAATTAATTCTACTTTTTACATGTCACGATTAGAGGAAAATGTCAGCACTTTGGTCTACTGTATTCAATAAGAGTAAATCCTCTCCTTTTTCAAAAAGAAGCCGCCTTTAAACTTCCTTGCAAGAGGCAGGAGAGTGGGAATGAAAGGCAGCATGACAAACAAATACACTGAGTCAAGATGCCAATTATCTAGGGAGATATTCACAGGAGGTACCTCCTAAAAACAAATCAGAGTAGGTATGGGACTGAAAGTTTGTGAGGGAGATGTCCATGCTGGTGGCTTAGGAAGACTCTTCTGTGGTTAGAGACTCACTCCACATTCTTATTCTCTTCCACCTAAGATTTCAAACCACACGTACTCTATTTTCCCCCTTTGTTCAAGACCAATTCTGGGTTGCACCTAGGGAACCGTAGAGTTTGGGGCTGCCTCCATACTACCACAGACTCTGTAACTGTTCGATATTTTAACTGTTTTTCATTTTGGTAGTGAATTGGGTTCTATACCAAAGTTAGAGAGTTCCAAGGGCCACCAACAGTCACTTTTATCTACTGTAAATTGCAATTATTGTGGAAAAGTTAGATTCCACTTTGAGTTTGATTCAACTGATTTTCTATCCCAAACTAAAATATTTTCAAGCACATCTGCACACTGCACAAATGGAAAAATGCCAAACTCATAGTTTCCTAAAGTTTTATTCATATCGGTTAGATCCACTTTAATCTGCTCCTTGTCAGAAGAGAGTGTCTGATGGATTTAACTAATTTCCCTCACCTAGTTTACAGTTTTAAGAACACCTTAAAAACTGACCTGAAAAGAATGCGGAATAGCTGCCTCAGATACATGTAATCCGGGGCTTCCTCAAAGCGCAGCCCACGACAATAGTTTAAGTACATGGCAAATTCTGCAGGAAATCCCTAAAGTTTAAGAGTTAAAACACAAAGTAAAAGAACAAAAAACTTACTTTAAGATAGAAAAATAAATGTTATTTAAATACAAACAAAAACCTATTTGAGGAGGGTATTTTACTACTTTGCCAGAAGATCTGAAAACTAAAATATTAAGCTATGACTTGGTATCCTCATAAATTTAATAAAATTTCATCGTCCTAACCACTTGATTACATACAGTATCTTTTATTACTGGTAAAGGAAATATGCCCTTTTCCTACAGTATTATGTTCTTAAATAACTTAGGTACCCCACTTGTTCATTTACTATTTTATCAATGTCTAATAATTCGATGGCAACAATGAAAAACGGCAAAATAGAGGCCAGCAATGCTCTTTGCCAGAACAGGACAATGAACAGTATTCTCTCCCCACTCTGAAATTACTCTTTTTTATAATAGTAGTATATACCTATAAAAACAAAAAACTAAAATCACCAAGAGTGTAGCCATACAAAGCAACCACTGTCGTGATTACAGATCAATCCAATGCTTTGTCCTATGAAGAGAGTGAGTTGGTCTTTTCTTTCTTCTGTAACTGTTACCACATCGCATATATAATATATTGTTTTTTTCCATTAACATTATATTGCAAGCATCCTCCTATGCTATTTCCAATCTCTTCATAAGCTACTGAATGGCTGTATAATATTTGACCTAGTGAACACATTATAATTAACTTGTTCCCTGTAATTAGAAATGTAGGGATTCCAATTTTTTCTATTATGAACTTGCTTTTTTACATGTATTACAAATGGAGTTAACCACAAATGAAAGTCTAATAGCATAGTTCATGTGTTACCCCCTTATGCAAACAGGCAAAACCTTACCAAAAGAAAACTACCAATATCATAAGCATTAAAGATATGAAATAAGAAGTACCACTGAACCACGAGACTGAAAACAATGTCACTACTTTATAGGAATACCTAATATATCTGTGTTAATCGTACCCTGACTCAATTATATGTGGTTAATCCAGAAAGACAGACATGGCTCACAATGTCTAGGTCAAAATTAAGACACAGCCCACAAGCAAAGAATCTACTAAATTCCCTTTCCCATCCTATAAAAATGGCTGACTTTTCCAATAAACAAAATGAATTTTTCCATTGTATGGAAATAGTAGTGTACAGAAAATACACTTTGCTTCCTGAAGTATACAGATTTTACAGTTATTTGGGTGGATTATAACATATGAACATTTTATTCATTAACCTAAAATGTATTTCATAACTTTAAAAAAAAAATCCCAAAGAGTTTCAGGAAACATCAGTCTCCCACTCCATCCCCTTCTTTATCGCAGAGATGCAGAAAAGCGAAAAAGCAAATTTGTGCATGGGGATACACATGAAGACCTCACCATTTCTCCCCTTCCACAAAGTATTACTTCAACTTATGCTGATTTCTCCCTTCTATCACTCAACTATATAATTATATACTGTTTTCTAATTATTTCAAGTATGCAACTGTTGTCTCAAAGACAACCACGTAGTCCTCTTTCTACGGAAGAGACCATGGTCATTCATCATGACACATCTCTATTCTCAACTCACATGCCTCTCTCTCCGTGAAGTTTGAGATTGCAGAGAAATGAGCCTGATTCAAACTGTCAACTATGTTGTCAGACAATCACTATTTTGAATTGTTCTGATCTGCCTGCCTTTGTTTCCCTACTCTTTGATGTGCCAATTGCTGACATCCTTTCTTCTCTAACACCACTTTAGGGAAAAGGAGGATATTTCTTAATTTAATTTTCTTCATAAACTAGTGAGGTTCTAGTAGAAACGTTTACCTGACCTCTTATTTTTCCTCCAATTTTAAATAGAATATAAGGGCCCAAACCAATCAGAAAAATGAACGTTTATTCAAAATGATTCATATGTTCAAGCCATTCTTAAAGATACTTAGAATCATCAAAAACTAAATTTAAAATGGTAAATAGCTAGCTACTTAACAGGATGTTTAAGTTCCAGGGCTGGCAAGTAAAATGTTCCTTTTGTTCTTGGATTATTTATATTGTTTTAAAAAATACTCACTATGCACACTTACCTTACATAAAACTTCAACAGGAGTGGACATCTTCTTTTCACTAATCTTTTCATATTTTTGTTTCTTTGTTGCAGCCTGAGGAAAATAAGAATTAAACCACAAAGACATACTAAATACTACTGAGAAGAACCTTATTAGTTTAAAACACTAGACATAAATGTAAACTTGAGATTCAAGAGAAATCACAACCTCGAGTTAATGAGAAATCAAAGTACAATATATTTAAAAAGTTTTTTTCTAAACTGTTAGCTTTTTATATGAGTTTCTACTTTTAGAACATTTTTAGCTATTGGGAAGGGTGAGTCTAAGAGGAGTATCAAAATTATGATTTAAGTAAAAATGAGTGAAGTCAAATTTGAAATGAGTTTTCTTAGCCCATATTCAACAAAAAGGGAAAGGTATAGACCGCTCAATACAAAAAAAGTGCCCATCATTTAGTGACATTATTAACTCATGTTAAGTCAAAATATCTATCCAATGTAAAAACATTCATATTGTGTAAAGCCACCCACACAAGCATTGAGCAATTTGTCTAGCTCACAGATGCTGAATAAATAGAGGAAACATTTTCCTTTAAAGGAACAATAAAGTATCAAAATAGCCATTAAATTCTAGGGCGCAGTGACTTATTAACACACAAACACTTAGAAAAACTAATGGTGAAACTCCTAGTTAACAGAAACAAAATATTAGGATAATTAAATAATATAGTTAGTAATACTGGATAAACTAGTTTTACTGTACATAAAAGCATACATTTTCAATATAATGGCAACATATGAAAATGCGAAGAGTCTCCATCTATTTTAGGCCATGTCAACTTTCATCCAAATAAAACTACTGGTTACCAATGGGTACCTGCTTACTGTCCCAAAGGAAACTGTTTTTCAGTTATGACTGTGGGATTCTATTAACTTAATTCTTACTGAAACAATCAGATTTTATTTTCTCAATAAAAGATAAAAATAAATTAAAGTTAATTCATTCTCAGAAAACCTCATATTTGAAAAGGACCTTAAAGGTCATCTTTAATAGGTATTTTTATTTTTAAAACGAAACAAAAAACTGATAGTCTTCATCTGGTTTACCTTCAGTCCTTGCCATGGCAGGCTGGTTCTATTAAAATACATCAAAACATATCCTAATGATTCCATGTCATCTCGGCGACTAGAAAGGAAACGTAAATTTATGAGCTGGAATTATTATAGAAACCATGTGAAAGAAAGCCAGGTACACAAGAAGACATTTTCCCAAGCAGGAGAGGGAACAATTTGGTGTTTTGTGCAAGAAGGTACACAAAGGTAATAAAAAAGTTCATAATGAGTTATTTCTAAACAAAATTTTCTCAAAGAAGCCAAAATTATAAAATCCAACACAGTCCTGCAATTTAATTTTTAAAGAAGAGCAAAAGGATTTGGCTAAACAACTTTCCAAATAAGGTCAACAAAGACGGAAGAGGCAAGGAGCAGGACACATAGAAGTTTTACAAAAGCTCATAAAAAATAACTTCAGGGATGAAATAAATTAACATTTGAAAGCTAATTAAACATCTATACGTATATGTATACATATACACACATACATATATATCCAGACACATGTATTTAAGGACTGCTGATATTCTGGCTTACAGGAAATGTGAAACTACAGTTTAACCCAGGGTATTCAGATATTTTAAAAATAACTAGTATATTCTTCCCCAAAACTCAACTTGCATCATTACAGTATATAAGCCCAAGATCAGTATTAAGAAACTAAGTACTGTCTTCAGCTGCAAAACTAAACATCAACACAAACTACATTTATGCTTCTAACTTTCCATCATACAATCTTTTTTCCCCAAGAGACAACTTTCAACCAAGAAAACAAAAAGGCCTCATTTAATCAGCTCCTCTGTACTAGCTAAAACAGTGGGTAAAAGGATTAATAAGCATCGCTGAAATCCTCAGACAAGAGACATCTTTAGATACTGTAGGAAACTAATTAAAATATTTCAAAAACCCATTAATGGCTTTCGCTATGGATATGATAAACACATTCAATCTTCAAACTCACCTCTGTTCAATACCAAGATGTGCATTGATGCTAGCATATCGGGCAGTGCCAGTGAGATTTTTATCTTCTCTGTATGGTATGTGTTGCCTTGTCCTGTTATCTCTGTACTTTTTGGCCAAACCAAAATCAATAAGGAATAACTTTAAAAGAAAATAAACAGACATTAGATTTCCAAGCTTGTTCAATTAAAATGTTTCTTGTTCATTAAATGGCATCTATTCTATTTTGTTCAATTATATCAAAATAAAGTATAAGCAGAAGAGAAATGAATAAACTTAACACTCCAGTAAGCTTTCACTTTTCTTCATCAATAAACCAAGTTAAAAAATACAGTTAGATCAAGTGGTTGTTCCTTGTCAGCTGAACAATTTCACAGGCCCAGTTCATTATACACTCGGGAACCTGTCTTTAGAAAAATAGTGGAGAAATGTATATATGCTTGACAGCAGAGTTGACAAGTGTGCTGTCAGCCATAATGAAATCTGACAGCCTTTTACTACTGGTAAACAAGCAGCATGAGGTTTCAAGAACTAGACATAAGCTATCAGGAACTCTTCCATTCTACAAAGGCCATTCTTTAAGTAGGCCAACAAATGCTTACCTAAAATAAGACAACTGAAAGTTTGATACTGATAACAAAATCCAGATTTTTTTATTAACAAAAAATAAGTATTTTTAAAACAAGCATGCATTATGTTCTAATACTTCCCATTGACATTTATGCTTAAACTTCTGGAAAACGTAACAAGTTTATCTAAGATCTTAAAAAGGTACTTCATTATTTAAATCAAGGTAGCTCACAAGTAGCAGTTTAAGTAAGCTACCTAAAAACCAAACTAGTGTCTTAGAACAAAATGTTTTGTGCTATCTTATTTATATGGTACACAGGGAATAAGATCTTGTTCATAATGCAGCTAATTTTTTAAAGTAATTTAGGTTTACTCTCCATGATTAAAACCTTTAAAAGAAAAAGAAACGAACGAACAAAACTACTTTTTGACCAAAAAACTCCAATATATTCATATTTACCCACCTTCTAAAGCAAAACAAATCATCTTAAAATTTTAGCCTTTATCATAAAATCACTCGCTAAAAGTTATGTCTACAAAGACTATCGAGCAAGGCCAGTTTATGCACCCTTACAATCCATCGCCCTAGATCATTTTTTTCTAGTTATGCCTAAATTCTGTAGTTTTTTCCATTAGGCTGACATTGGGTCCCTTCTGCTATAGCTTATAACCTGTGATAAGGTGGAAAACCCAACCACCTAATCTGTTAAGGTTTGTGTCAAAATATAAACAAAGCAAGTTATTAATTTAGATGAAACAGATGTGACCAAGTGCCTCTCTTAGTTATATGTTGAACAGGAAAGGCACTGAGGTTTGAGCTCCTACCACCATTTTAACAATGAGATACTTTCCTAGTCTAATATAAAGAAAAGAAGATTAAATTTTTAGTAAAATGTAATTGGATAATGAAAGTTCTCTAATAAGATTAAACTCACTTCCTAAGAAATTAAGTTATTATAGGAAGATGAGAAAGTTAGTGTTATAAAACACTAAGAGAAAGCTCATACTCAAGTTTCTTACAAAAATTAGTACACAAATATTAAAATATATGAACTACACTTCTGTTAAGCAAAACAAAAATTATAACTTTGCTTCTGCAGATTCACATGGAAAGAAAAGAGAAAACAAACACATAAGGACATCTAGCTTCACAGTATTTTCCAAATATCCCTAAGAATTATGTGGGTTTTGAATAAAAACTGATATAGGACACAGACGCTCTTCTAAGGGATATCTTCTGGGATAGCTCCCTTTAGTACTTCAAAATGAAGGAGACAATAGCAACAACTCAGACATGATTACGTCTGATAGTTCCATTCATGGCTAACTCTACATTCAGTAAGTAGCTCCATTTATAAGTAAAACCAGACATTTTCTCATAACTAAAAGATTGCTTTATAAAAACTCAGTGTTCACTAGAGAGTTCTTTCCTTCCACAACTCTAAAGGATGAAATCAAATTCAATAAGAAAATAAAACATAATACAAACACTATCTTCTTAAATATCTCAGTCTTTAATCAAAACAAAAAACTACAAAGCAAATAAATCAATTTAAAATTTTCTTTTATGAAAAGTGAAAACACAGGAAAAGTAACGTCACTGCTAAACAAAGGTATTCTATTTTAAGAGGAAACAATTAAAAGAAAAACTACTTAAAATTAAAATTTTTTAAATCTCTTGGTAGTTCATTGTCTTCTAGTATCTATCAAGCTTCTTTAAGTGGCTCTCTATGCTTGATTTTAAAAATGAACATAGGGGCTGGCCCCATGGCTGAGTGGTTAAGTTCCCACGCTCCACTACGGTGGCCCAGGGTTTCGCCAGTTCGGATCCTGGGTGTGGACATGGCACCGCTCATCAGGTGATGCTGAGGCGGCATCCCACATGCCACAACTAGAAGGATCCACAACTGAAAATATACAACTCCGTACTGGGGGCTTTGGGGAGAAGTAAAAATAATAAAATCTTTAAAAAATAAATAAAAATGAACATAAACATAATGGAGTGTTTACACAAAAGCACTAGATACCAAGGATACTTAACCAAACGGCAGTAAATATGTAGAAGCAGAACCAAATAAGGAAAAGACAATATTCAGTAAGTCATAAGACAATGTACTTTTACAGATTTGCATATGCAAAGACAAGTCTAATTTCGTTGGTGGGTCAGGCTACTTTTCTGTGGATTTTAATTACATGTCATAAGTAAAATTTGTGCCTGTTTTAAAGAATGCCGTCTATTCTCCAGAAGCACGTGGAAATGAGTTAATGTTGGACATACTAGGATAACTCCATTCAGCAGAGGTGTATTTTCTTCAGAAACACTATTGCCAATTTCAGTTTTTAGTAATTGCAGCAATTTTTCTCTGACTCAAGGGTCACATTCTCCTGCCCTTCCAAAAAACCTCACAAGATCACTTTTCCTCACAACCCTGCTAACCTGTATGCAGAGAATATAAACAATTCAATACAATTTTATGGAAATTATTAAATGATTATGCTACAAAACATAAGTAAAATGTGGCAACGGATGGTTAAGTAAAAACAGGGCACTAAAGTTGCCTTATAATGTGTTTAATTACCCAGCCACCCCCAACCAAGATCTAGTCACCAGTTGATGTTTTTGTGAATAGAAAGAAATTTGAACTTCTGAAACCATTTTAACAGCAGGAGAAGGTGGTCCCTGGAATAATGCTGGGCAGAATGAAAAAGGATTAAATGATTACCCAGATGATGCATGTGGTAATTAAGCAACTACAAAGTATGCGCAGTATCAAATACAACTTTTTTTCCTTTTTGATTACTCAAGCCAATACTTGCTTCTCAGTGTAAACTAAATCGGATGATAACGATTCGTTCTTTTTTAAGGAGCTTCAAAATTTATATAGCTAAATTTTGTGATTAAAACAAAACACTATTTTCCCTTGTTTGTCTGAAAAGTCATACAATAAGGAAGCTAACTTCTACAAAAGTAAAAGAAAATGAAGAGTTCTACTTACATTTAAAAACTATTTAGAAAATTATTGAGGTGTTTATCTAGCCTGCCAAACACTAAATCATTAGCTCATGCATTCATTGAATTGCTTCTATGTGCTACTAATAGCAACTGTTTAATAAGTGCTTCAATTATGTTATTGTTATATTGTTAGAATGAATGTCTTCTAGTTCCAGAGCATATAATGCTCTTGAAGCATTTTATGCCGTTGGTTGAAGTTAAGGGAATCTAGAGATTGAGGTAAATCAATTCTAGAAACAAGAGATCTGAAATCTGATCTACACTTACCTGAAGCTCATTAGGGAAGGGGAAGAGAGGTGAGGTAGAATATATTCATCATACAGCACTTATGCAACTGAATTTAGATGTATTTCATGCATTAAGTTCTGCAACTCCAAATATATTTTTAAAAACTAAAAAAATAGTCTATCTCAAATTTATACTATTAGGTAAGGAATTTCAACACTAGACCAACATATTATTTCCTCAAGTGAATGTTAGAGGTATAAACATAATCCTGTTTTCATTTACGTTTTCTCTAAACTTTACAAGCTTTAAGCAAAAGCCACAAAGAAACACCTTAGTAATGTTATGTTTGCCAAGTATGTCTGAATAATGCCAACGTAAGAGGTGCTTGAGCAAGATCTACATTCTCCAGAATTAAAACAAAACAAAAATAATCAAAATAAAACAATAAAAAAGAAAAGCACATGAAGTTGGGATTGAGGTTGGAATAGGAGACAGTTTCAGACCTGGTTTAATCCTGAGAAAGATGGGTCCTGAGAAGTACTAACAGTCATGCTTCTTTTCCTCTTCCCCACTGGAGATTCTAAACACTAAACAGACAATAGAGGGTGGCAGTGCATCAAACAGTATTGCTTACATTGCAACAATGGCCGGCGCAGACAGGCAACACCGAGGCATTAGAGAAAGAATAGGGTAGCCAAATGCCATCCTTCTTCCACCAAGCACTGTAGCTTCTCAGTTTTCCAAATAAGAATCACATGCTCAAGAACATTTGAATTCTGGAAAATACTCAGGTTTTTAATGCCACTATATTGTGTCACTGCCTGAAACAGGGATAGCAATGGTGACATTTGGCTCTTTAACTTTTTAATCAAAAATGGGAAATTTGGATCTGCAATCATTGGTACCACAATCTGCCCTTCCCCCGAAAAAGATTGTACAGGGGAAAAAAATCTTCAGTAAGGAAGAGGTAGAAGGCATTTAGTCACCTTAAAATTTATTTTCATAAGCATGCAGGGCTGATTACTGGAAGAGATGAGCAAATTCACTAAGATTGGAGTGGCTACTCCTAAATATCAAATTCAGAACAATTTTCCAAATAAGAAATTTGACTTCAAAAATCAACCTCAAAAGCCCCCCAAAACTCTTTTTTCCCAAGAATAGAAAACTACTGGAACAAGCTGACCAAAGAATCCAGTTTCAAATAACTGGCATTTTTCAAACTGTAATACAGAAAACACTAAAAGCCAACTACATAAACGAAACACTAATCTAAAATGTTCAACAACATTTAGAATTTGAATCTTAAGTAAGGAAACACTTACTTTAATCTTAAGGAAAACACTGCGTCTCTACCCTAGAGTGTCTCTGAATCTGTGTTAACAGGAAGCAGATCCACAATATTTTTTAAAATATCTCTGAAGAGGACACAAGATTCTAAAAAGGTTTTCATCAGTGGTCAATTTGGACTTCCTAATATAACCATGTGATTGACAAGCTATTTTTAAAGGGGAGGGGAAAAGCAGAGAGGTATTATCTAGGTCATTGTTTAATTTTAAGGCAAAAACCGTGTACTGCAATGTCAACATGCAGAACACGGATCACATAAGGATAACGGATCTTTAGCGGGAAGAAAATCGGACAGGGAGGGCTGGGAAATATAGTCAACAGAAGATTAGGGTCAAACTGACAGAACTGCCCAAAAAATTAAGACCGGTAATTTTCTTTTCAATTAAAGTACCAGGTTTTGCAATAACAATTAAGAACCTGGAGACTTCAAAGAGAGAACCTACGTAATCTTTAAAAAAAAAAAAAAAGAAAGAAAGATGCAATTTGGGAATGGCAAGGTAAGCTATATGTAGATTTAAGCCCCTTTCATTATTTAAAGCTCAGCTTTCAACAAAAAATTTTAATTTCCTAAAACTTGGTCAGACCAACATTAATATCTCACATATTAACAACACCAGTTCTAATGGCAATGGCTCCAGTTGGCATTCATACAGGCAAACAAAGGTAAACATTTATAACTAGACCTAAAAACACCAGACATTCCCTAATGGTTTAATTAAACAAATGGGAATCTTCTTCCAAAACAAAACAAAAAACCACAAAAAACAAAAAAAACCCCAAGTTGTCCTGAAGTTGAGAATTTCTATCAGGTCATCAGATCATAACATGCTTAGTGCATTGCCAATGCTGCCTGTCTGCCCGAGCTCAACATTGAATTGATAAAAAAAGCAATTCACTCAATAAAACTAATCATTGCAGAAAAAGTTTCAACACAATTAGTTTCTAACTGCAGTCATGCACCACTAGCTAAAACCCAATCACCCCTTAAGTTCAACCATTCTGAGACCCCAATGAATACCAATTTTATTGTATTAACGTTCATTTCACTTGTCTGTATTTTCCTTTGAAAGGGGGAAGAGGGGTGGGAAACCCACCCAACTTGGCACCCAAGTAAAACTGTCAACTACTTTTGAAGAAGGCCCAAAAGTTATCCTTTTGAATACACAAATCCGAGGACTAAAGAATTCTCATTATCAACTATGCTCATTCAGCAAATGTTATCGCCATGGTGACAGCTGGGTCAGTGGTTCCCAAAGTGGCACAAGCACATATACTACAAAAACCCACATTTCAGAGACAAAAGTTAAAATCTTATTTTTCGCATTCAGGAAGAAAAGTATATGGGGTTTTTCACTATTTGAATGAATGAAAAACATATACAACTGTCAAATAGTTAAGTAACACAGAAGACTGCATTTCATTATAAAGCCCTTGGGAATTTTATATTTCCAAACAGATAACTAACCTTGGTTGGGTAAGTTGGAGAGAATTTATTTCAAGTTACAAAGTTAATAGAGTTAGCTGATTATTCTTCTAGCACAGTCTTTCAAAGCAATTATCAACAGCAAATTCAATTTACTATGACTTTTTAAAGATAGAACCAAAGCAATTCTTGGAGTTTTTACTTGTTGTTCTTTCATGCAAAGAACATTTGACTAACCTTATTACAGTGACGCCCAATACCCATTAGGAAGTTATCTGGTTTAATGTCTCTGTGTATAAAATTCTTTGTATGCACATATTCAATTCTACTGATCATCTGGAAAAAAAAAGAGGAGAGACAAGTGAGTTACATGATTTGAATTGTGATGAAAGAAAGCAACATATTATTCCTCAATTGTTTTTCAAGATCACAGTATATTTTAATAACTATTAATAGAGATCACAAAGACAGTGCTAGACAAAACTAAATGGAAAGAGCAACCAGGTTTTCCATTTATCTCGACTGATGTGGATATCTTTAATCTCTATATCGATGGCTATCTAAGCACAAACCTGCAGCAGGCTTTGGCCTGTTCTTCCAGTATGACAGCATCTAACCTGACAAGAAGAATTGGTGTTGGCAATTTTAAATTACAAAAGTCATAAATTTAGAACTGTTTCAGTTATTGTAATAAATTATAAAAAGTGTAAGCTAAATCATCACTTTCCACCCTCAATTCTATGCCCCCTGAGGTAACCTGTGTTAAAACAGCCTGGTATTCTCCAGATCTATTTCCACACTCTTACATTCGTACTGCATAAACTCGGACACACACATATACTTGGGAGTAGGGGATGATGACCAATCGACAGATACAGCTATCTTGTCATTATTGTTTTAAATTGCAAAAGAAGCATTCTATCCACTTTATTCTTGTATGCTTGTTTGTTTTTAACTAAACATATCCCAAACATTCCTGGAAGTTGGTAGCACCATAAGCATATCTTTTATATAAATGGGAACATCCATATGCTGGGGTTCCTTTCTGGCATGCTTTTTGGACTCTCCCATGTTTTTCCTCCACATTTATATTATAAAATCATATTCAAAAACTGAATAGTGAACATGTCTTTCTAACAAGCTTTTCTTGATTTCTTGGAAATTCTGCCAAGTCAAATGGTATGGGTCTTAGCACTCTTATTAATGGTTACAAACATTCTGTGGTATAGATTTAAGTTTTCCCCAATCATCTCCCAGCTCACAGTATTCTCATCGTTCCCAATGTTTTCCCACTGTAAACAATAATGCTATTAATAGACAAACACATCCTTATCCACTAGGGCTTTTATTTCTATGGGCGACAAATCCCATACAATTATAGGGAGAGTTCCTGGCTTGAAGGGTACATATATATTTCATTTTGCTAGGTGCCATCAGGCTGCCTTTCAAAATATGCTATAACAATTCATTTTTCCAGCAGTAGTATTTGATAGTATTCTTTTTCTCACTAGCAAAGTTATTTTAGTTCTTTCTAAACTTTGCCAATTTGACACGTATTAATCTCACTTGCAATTCTCTTAACACTTAGTTTGGAAATCTGCTCATTTTTACTGACTATTTAAATATTTACTATTCTACGACCTGTCAATCCATACTCTGTCCATTATTCTTTTGGCTTCTCCTTTTCTTGTTAATTTTAATAATTCTTGGATATAAGAGACAATCTTCTATCTGTCATTTGTTGTGTAAACAGATTTACATTTTTAAAAATGTGTCTTTTAACTATTTATGGTATCTCTTCCGTCAGTTTTAACTTTCAAATTATCAAATGTCTACCCTTTCTGTAAGATACTTAGAAGTTCTATTTGAAAATGTTTTCCATATCCAAAGATGACTGACATTATCTTTCTACCCATATGTTCTTGCTCTTCTCAGTAGTATGTGTCAGGATTCTATTTTTTATTTGTCCCCATTTTCCCCAGGGCTTTTATTACCACGGATATACAGATTCTAAATCTTACTCCTCTACCTTGACAAATGTCTTCTGAAGCCAAACCTGTAATCCCTGGCTTAAACTATTTTATACTTAGAAGGAAGTAAATGTATATAATGTCCAAATACCACCTTTAAGTACAGCAGCAAGCTGTACTTTAAAGGAAGTAAAACAAAACATTTGGCTTGCTTAACGTACATATTTGTCCTAGGTAAGCAATATCCATCATTAAACTGTGACTACTAACTCACCGGAAATAGGTCAGGCAAAAGACAATGGCATAAACTACAGACTACTCAAGTGTTGCCTATCATCTACAAAGTAAGACTTGGCTGTTACCTCCTTAAACAAATGCATTCCTGCAACACTCTTCCCTGAAGTATATTCTTTCTCTTATGTCAACGGTGTACCCAATATAAACTTCTATCACACATCTTGAACACTGTATTTTTCCACTTTTCTTTACTGAACTCTACGTTCCTAGAGGGAAGGGACTAATTCCTATTCTTCCTTGCATCCTCCAGTGCTAACTTAGGTACAGCAGTAGGCCCTGAATAAATGCTCACTGTAAGAATGCCTATGTGTTCCTGGCCCTACAGAATACAAATTCTTTCATTAGAATTCACTCACATCTTAGTTAAAAGATACTAAAAGGTTTGAGTTCGTAATGTGCCATAAATAGAACACTATAATTTGCTAATATTTGCTTGAGCCACTCAAAGGTTTTGTTAAGCTTAGGGAATACAAGGCGTTGATTACAGAAAATAAGCACTACTTTCTAATCATTTGAATTTATAATTTATGAAACTCTACCTCAAATACCAGTTCTGTTTATCACCTCATTTACTTTATTATGACATCCAATCTAAATCGTAAAATGTCATTCTCTTCCACAGCATTTTTAGAAACACAGTGAGTTTCCCTTGAAGCATTTCCAACATGTTCCTGCCCTTAAAGGTATCTTGACCAAAATTTAAAATAAGTTCCTTAACATTTACCTGTTATCTTTTATTGTATTATCTGTTTTCTCAAGGCTTGTTCCTGATCCCATTCCCCTATCTTAAAAATTCTTTAAAACTAGTTTTCTTTCTTATTTTATTAAGATCAAAGAATCTAAGCTCTGGCTTTAAAACAACTTAACCTCCAGCCAATGCATGAATCTAATTAATGACATCTCCAAAATTTGCCTGGTTTTGCTTAAATACTACCAATGGCTGAGAATCCATTGCTTCAAGAAGCATCTATTTGGTCAAAAATTCTTCCTTAAATAAAAGCCTTATTTTCCTCAAAAATATAGCTTTTATAAGGGTCCCACACATAATATATAGCATTCAACTTGCTTAATTTAACCAAAATTTCAATATGCAGTCACATATTGCTTAACGATGGGGATATGTTCTGAGAAATGCGTCGTTAGGCAATTTCATCACTGTGCAAACATCAGAGTATACTCACACAAACCTAGATGGAATCAGCTAGGCTATATGGTACTCATCTTATGGGACCACTGTCATATATGCAGTCCCTTGTTGACAGAAATGTCATTACATGGCCCATGACGGTATATATTTATCTATACTTATATACATTGAACCCTTTCTTCAAACAAAATCTTATAAGGAAACCTGCTATATTCAACACTAAAACAAATATACTCCATCTGATGGAGCAGCTTGAAAATTACTAGTCTATAGGTGAGTAATAAACCAATATAATCAGTTTTGTCCTATATCTATAGGAAAACATGTCCAAGTCATATTATAGTACCACACTTGAATGACTACACCCCTACTAACATCTTTTTTTTTTTTTTTTTGCTAATCTGAAGGGTAAAATAGTAACACATAGGTTTATAATACTCTGGTTTATAAATATTTAAATTACAGCTAAATAGAGGTGAATAGTAATATTCTCCATTTTTATTCTCATTAAAATTTCACATACCTGGTCAGCTAACATAAGTACAGTTTTCATTGTGAACCTTCTCGAACAGAAATTGAAGAGGTCTTCGAGGCTGGGTCCAAGAAGATCCATGACTAGCACATTGTAGTCTTTTTCCTGACCATACCACCTAATAAAAGGGGAAAAGTAGAAGGGAGGGCATTATGAAAAGTTGATTATCACTTAACACTGCCAATTTTAAAAATTCTTAAACCCTAAGCACAAGACCTCCCTCTCTGGTTAGGTTTTATTTAAGGTTAAGTTTTCCTCTATTCAGAGGATGAACTCACTGACTGACTATCCTGCCCAACATAATATAAGTATAAGGAGACTTTTTTTTTCTGTCAAGTGACCCCATTGTCCTATTAAGATGGAATCTGTGTGGCAGTCTTAACACTGCTCTTTCTAGGGCAGTTGAATTCTATACCCCATCTGCCACTGACTCCTGTGACTTTGGGCAAGTTTCTTAATCTCCTACTTCCTAATTGAAGAAATGAAGGAAACTATATCAGTCATTCTGAAATGTTTCAGAAAGCAAAGATCCCTTTTATTAAACTCTTGTTCCATTTCCTACCAAGCTGTATTTAATCAATAACTACTTGTCCTTTTTACAAAAAGGAGCCTCATTTTTGCTTAGTTTCAGATTACAGAAAATAACCAGTCTTACCACAAAGATAACACGGGCTTTTGATTGGCATCATGTTTTAATTATCCCATGCTGTGTTCCTACGGATAAATATACAGCTTGTCCAGAGTAACTCAAGAAACATCTACTGCTAATTTCAGAGACTCCAAGGACTGGGAATCACTGCAATAAATTATTTCAAGTTTCTATATGCCTATAATTCTGGTAAGGGTACTTTCCTAGAAATAAGCACTACCATTTTTTTTTTTTTTTTTTTTAAGATTTTATTATTTCCTTTTTCTCCCCAAAGCCCCCTGGTACATAGTTGTATATTCTTCGTTGTGGGTTCTTCTAGTTGTGGTATGTGGGATGCTGCCTCAGCGTGGTCTGATGAGCAGTGCCATGTCCGCGCCCAGGATTCGAACTAACGAAACACTGGGCCGCCTGCAGCGGAGCGCGCGAACTTAACCACTCGGCCACGGGGCCAGCCCCAAGCACTACCATTTTTATTTCAAACTTATCTAGGTTGTGAATTCTGCTTGAAAAGAAAATTGGTCAATATTTAAAATGTTAAAAAAACAACAAAAAAAGAAGCAAAAGCTATTTTAAAGCTCAACTGGAGTAATTCCTTTGTTAACTCCAATAAGAACTAATACCAAAATATACCATATTTGAAAGTATGAGGATTTAATATTTTAATAATTATATTTTTCTAGAAAGTGCAAAATTAACTACATAGGTGTGGTCCTATATTCAGATACAGTGAATATGTTTCCTAGAATTTTATGTTGAGAGTAAAAGATCAAAAGGGAACGAGGCTTAAAAAGCTCACATTCCTTCCTATACTTTTGCTTGAACTGTTCTTGAGAACTACTTTGCAAGCCTGACATATGAATTGCTGCTATCAAACAAATAAAAAGGAATCCATTTTCACATCCTCTTTGTAGAGAAAGGTACCCTGATGAGGAAAGAGTTTCTGCTTAACCTTCTAGAGATCTTGCCCACTAGCCTAAGAAAAGCAATGGGGCCGGCCCTGTGGCCAAGTGGTTAAGTTCACGCGCTCCGCTTCAGTGGCCCAGGGTTTCACTGGTTCGGATCCTGGGCGCGGACATGGCATCGCTCATCAGGTCATGCTGAGGCGGTGTCCCACATACCACAACTAGAAGGACCCACAATTAAAACATACAACTACGTACTGGGGGGATCTGGGGAGAAAAAGCAGAAAAAAAAAGAGAAAAGCAATAGACGTGCCAATGGTAGAGTTAGTCTGTCTTTACTGTACCTAAATCTGTGTACAAAGCTGCTATAATTTTCCCTCTTCCATCCCTTATTTTCCATATAGGAATTCAACACCCTTCATATTCACTCAAACATTTACTTGAAAGAAAAACTCACAGTGGTGGGTTGGGCGGGGAGTCGACAGCGTGGAAAGAGATGGATAAAACATAACAAATAATACTACTATAAAAAGCAAATGATGAACAAAGTGAATAGGTGATGTTCTCCTTTCCTTTTTCCTTTCTGTTTATTTTGTTTTCCTTCCCTTCTTCCTCTTCCTTAACTTTAGTGCAGAGGCAAATTTGTGCTAGAGAGCAGTCAGGAACTTCAAAATCAGTCCTTGCCATTATAAATGTCCAATACTAAATCTAATTTATCTAGGTTTTAAAGAAAAAGAAATGATTCTCTAGAAAACACCAAATCCAGAAAGAGCCAAGGCAGCAAGAGGAAGGCACAAAGGCAAAAGGGGAAAGCATAAATCAACTCTCATAAGACCACATCTCATCTCTACATCAGCAGATTCACACCGATGGCTCATTAACAAAACTACAATAAATAAGCAAATTTTACAACCATCCATCCAAGCCCAAATACAAACCTGAAATGTAAAAAGCACAAATTCATACTTCATATCTTCATGCAACTACACATGATCTCATATAGCACTTTCTGAAGGGTCATCTGCAATGTAAGCCTTTAACGGAATACTCTCATAATGATTAGAAATTGAGAAAAATTTGATGAATTTGGAAACACACTCAAAAAAAAATCAAGTTATTGGGTATTTTTCTTCTTATTTGTTTAAGTGTATGAGTATAAAACATATCCAGTATTCTCAAGGTCAAGAAGATGAAGAATCCATTTAAAAAAAGCTGAAATACAATGTTTCCAAGACATTTTTCTCCATGGAGCAACTATGCGTTTCTAAAATAATCAGGTCTTTCTGCTGTATAGAGATTGGTAGTCCAACTTCTTAAACCTAAGCAACAGGTGTTTTTATCTTTTACATTTCCTTTTGGTTTCAAGGAACATATATCTTATTTCTCTAAAGCTAACACCTCGCATGCTCCCCATTTGTGCTTTCTATCTGTCCAACTGAGCCAGACATTCTTCTACACAGATTAGGAGACAGCAACCATCTTCTGCTTTTATCCAAATCCTACTTATTCAGTTTCTACCTTCACCTCCACATTTTCCAATTCTATTCTGAGAGTTTCTAACTCCCTATTTTCAATCCTAAAGTCCTAATACGCAGATGTCAAAGAAATCTTCCTTAAGTAGCCTATCCCACAATGGTCTCCCATTTCATGGAATTCCCACAGCCACTGACCACTGCTTGTATCCACAATAACTCCTTGACAATACAAGTTTCAGGGATTGTTACTTTGATTTTTCTGTCTCTACACCTGGTAAGATAGAGCTGACTGTTTCTTTGTTTTTTTAAGTCTTCACAGAACCTAGGTAATGAGCAAGCACTAACCTGATTCTCTGATACCTTTTAACTTTGCAGACAATCTAAAACATACCAACACAAAAATTTCACTCCTATTCACTTTCTAGATGCCTCTAAGCCTAGAAACTCAGGTCTTCTATTTAGACATTTTTTATGTGAGTAGATGTGTTGCTACTAAGTACACTGTGGGAAAGAGATGTGCACAATGTAGGTACTCAGATATCTATGAGATTACAAAAAGAACTCTGGTTTGACGTGACCTTATTATTCCTAATAGTTTCAAAACATGCAAAAGAATCAAGTAATTTAAAGGATGAAAGTAAAAAAAAAAAAAGATGCAAGAGTTTCATTTTCCATTTGTTTGTTTCAAATCAATGCTGTTAAGACTTAGTCTTGCCCAACCAACCAGGAAGTAGACTAAAGAACAAGTTCTCAATTTATAAAACCATCATTACTTACTTAGAGCATTAAAAAAGGTACCTTAAGGCCTGAAGATGCTAAGAGAAGGTAAGGTCCACCTCTTTGTTCTCATCTCCTTTCCTCTAAACCCATATCCAAACTAAACCTAGTTAAAAAATTAAAACACACATAAAAAGCAGAAATGTAAGACGATCTCTGCACAAGTCGCTGGGGCTGACAAAAACTGTTGACAGAATCAGAAAACCAAAAGATCAATAGGAACTATCTGTCAAAGACGACTTGTGAAAATGGTCTGCTACCAGTCAGATCCTGAAGGAGGGATACTTTGATAGGAAAAGTGTTAGACAGGGGCAGGAACAGACCACGGGCTCCTAGAGAGGGGAGAGTCAAGTTGGGTTGATAGTTGGGGGCTATATTACAGACTCTTGAATGCCTGGCTAAAGAATTTTAAATTCCATAAATAACTGGGGGAACTACCAGTAATGTGTGTCTGGAACATAATGTAATTAAATAAATTATTTTTAGGATTAGCCTTGGCATCAGTATGCAATATGGAAATCAGGGAGTAGGGAAAGGGCTGTCAATGAGAGGGGGGACCAAGTAGAAGTGTTATATTACAGTTGGAGATTTGAAGCTGGGGGTTTCTTTCCTCTGAGAAATCTCTTTATGAAAATGGAAATATCTCAGAAAAGAAATAAAATGACTGAAATATTTTAAGAACTCCTATGAGGCCTAAGGACTTCTAAGAACAATCAACCAGTATAATTATCCTAAGTATGCAGTTCTGATTAAAGCACCAAAATATGTTCCATCCCTATGACTAGGACAATAACAACAGAAAAATAGATATTTGTTTATTGTATGTCCTCCCCTTCAGACTATCAGCTAGATAAGTGTGATAGTTAATTCTGTGCATCCACTAGACTGGGCTAAGAGATGCTGGGAGAGTGGGTAAAACATTACTTTGGGGCGTGCCTATGAAGGTGTCTCAGGAGATTAGCTTTTGAATCAAGAAGATTAGCAACTGAACGACAGACTAAGTAAAGAAGATCACCTTCTCCAAGGTGGAGGGCCTGAATAGAACAAAAAGGCGGAGGAAGGGAGAATGAATTCTGCTAGAGCTGGCACAACCATGCTCCCAGTTCTCAGGCTTTGGGACTCATACTAGGATTTAAACTACAGGCTCCTTTGGTTCTTAGGACTTTAGGCTTGGACTAGAACTACACCACTGGTTTTCCTGGGCCTCCAGCTTGCAGATCACAGATGGTGGGACTTAGCCTCCATATTGTGTGAGAGCCAACCTCTCTTAATCTCTTTGTGTGTGTGTTCCATTGGTTCGGTTTCTCTGGAAAAT